AAAAAATTATTTTTTGATATTTACATGAAAGAAGATTCAGACATCGTGCTCCTTACAATGAGAAAAAGAAAACCAATTGTGTTCTCAATATAAAAGAAATCAAGGTAAAAAAGTACTATTTCAAGGAAATATGGTTAGAGCAATTACCTATTAGGTTTAGGTTATAATTAGTCTGGCGAGTATTTCATAGGCTGGGGGGTTCCTGCAGGCGAGGAATGAATTTTGTAATTGTGTAATATTTTTTGAAAATTTTAATAGATAATTTTGTAATTGTATTAAATATTAGATTTTATCCATAAAAATCACAATAAAAAATTTCAAGATAAAGTTTTTAATTTTATATATAAAATTATTATAAATTTATTATAATTTTTTATAACTTAAAAAATAATAATTTTTAAAAATTACTATATATATATATCTAAATATATTTTGTGGCTACAAAAAAAATTCCAAGTGCAATCTCAATCGCACCCATAGTCAGTTATCACACGTTTCTAATCAACTCATCCCTAGAGCCTCGTTTATTTGTTTTAAAGTCGCGTTCAATGAAAGAGATTGTTTCATTTTCCGACTTTGTAGAATGGTAGCTTTACCGAAGAAAGTTTGTTGAAAATTAATGGTTTTTTATTTTATAGAAATAAGTTTTTTTTAGCCAACGGAAAATTTCCTACCATTAGTAGTGCAGGACTTTGTCGGATGCTTCTCAGACCAAGTAAATAAATAGGAATCTTGTGTCTTTTCTAAAAATATTATACTCCTACCGTATCTAATGTTTAATTTTAATTGTTTTATTTAGATTTTTTTAATTTTTAAACATTAATTTTTTTAAAAAATTTACTCTTTTTTCTCAACATTCTGTTTTTTAAAATTTTTATAAAAGGATTGGTGACATAACCACACTGTCATTAACAGAATTTTGTAATTGCATGAATCAACCTTGTGTCCATATTTAGCACCACTGGGGAAGAAAACTTTTGTGGAAACCTTCGTATTTAATTAGAATTTTATTTTATGAGATATAAAGATTTTTTTAAAATTCAAGGTCATATTATATCTGAAATCTCTATATCATCGCAGTTGTAGCCTAAACAAAGCATAATCTGGAGCAAAGATAAAACTTTGAAATGTAGCAGAGGAATTTGAGAATAAAGACTTTATGGACACTTCATTCATTGCTGAATCTTATATCAAAGACTAGCTAGGTAGTGCAATCATATCATGGATCCCTGCATTCTTCCCCACTAAACATAAACTAGACACATGCAACAATAGGACATAACATCCAATTCCAAATACTAGAAAAACTAAGGAAAGGAAGAGCAGAAGCTCAAGAAGTTAAGGTAGCCATTAATCCTGATATCT